CGAAACATCGTCACGAACATAGAAATTATAAATATCTTTTTTCAGTTTTGCAGAAAGTTGAACTGAAGTACGATGATGAGTTGGTTTAGGAATTAGACCAAATTTCTGAGCTAAATGCTGAACAATTTTTTTTTTTTTTTATCACATTTCGGCAAAGCCGAATTAACCGTTTTCAAACACTTTCCGAACGACTGACGACTCTTGAATGCACTGGGAACTGTTTTTGTATTCAAACGTTTTCTTTTACTCTTACGAAAATTAACTTGATTGATTTTATTTTTCAAACGGAATGCTGCCAGATCTAGACCGGTTAACTTCTCTCTCTTCAAATTACCACGAACACGAGCCTTAGCTTTCGCCGCTTCATATTTAACCTTATCTTTTTTTATTTTCTCACGATATTTTTTTGCGCTTTCCGCCTGACTCATGGCCATTCTCTTATCTCACTAGGAAATCCAAACAACACTTACCTTGCAAAACAATAGAATAGAAAATAGAATATGAGAGCTAATAGAAGTAAAAAACATAAACAATATTGTTCTCTTTTTTTAAAAATATCACACTTATATGGATGGAAGCAAATCTTGCTTCTAATGCGTCGTTCTTTTATGCTTAGCTTTCGGCAAAATAAAAGGGGTGAGTGTGTAGATTACATTTTTCTCTCTCGCTAGTAAATTAGATTTTTCTTTTCTTTCGTGCTCTCTCAAAGCAACGATCACAATACACGCAGGAGACAGATGGACATAGAGCTGTATCTGAAGCGTAAAGTACACTCTGTATACAGAAGGTCAACGAGTTCTATTCGAAGCTGATGCTCTACGTGCTCTCCGTTTGGCTGATTTTGAGCGATTTAAATCGATTTTGGACCACTGTAATAGATTTAAATCGATTTCAAGCGATTTTGTGACTAAAAATCGATTTGAACTAATTTAAATCGATTTTGGCTGATTCTGTCACTCAAAATCGATTACGCAAGAATCAATTTTCAGCCATTTTCAAGGGGGGAAAAGCTGGTTTTGGGTATCAAAATGACTGAAAATCAATTCTTGCGTAATCGATTTTGAGTGACAGAATCAGCCAAAATCGATTTAAATTAGTTCAAATCGATTTTGAGCCACAAAATCGCTTGAAATCGATTTAAATCTATAACAGTGGTCCAAAATCGATTTAAATCGCTCAAAATCAGCCAAAATCGATTTAAATCGCTCAAAATCGGCCATAATCGACAAGAGCTCCAAATCAGCTTTTTCCCCGTTGCTTGATGAATGAGTTTTTGTGTCAGTTAAAATCCAGCATGCTGATTCTTTATGCAAATATTGTCTCAGAATTAGTGTCATTCATAAGAATCCATACTATAAATAAATGAATGAATTTTGTTTAATCGTTAGATTAAATTTCGATGCACGATTACAAGTTTTTAATTTCATATTCTAAGTACGATTGTCAGATAAAATGACTTCGCGCTTTTAATGTTCAACTCTGTACTGTTTTCTTCAGGCACATTCCATACATAATTCCATCCAGAGTTTATAAACAATCGTTTACGCTACTGATTAAGAATTCGTACTTTTGTCTCAAAATTATGACACACCAATACTTGCGCTGATCTCCCTTAGTGTTGAACGCTCCTCGCGCTGAACTCTCCGTTTCTCGTTAGCACACTCACATACAAATAGTTTAACTAGGCTTTTTGTATAATACTGCTTCAGACATAGTAAAAATCTCAAATCGAATACCATAGCATTGCATTATGGCACAGAAAATCATTTACCCTCATTCCAAATTGAATATGAATGAAAACTTCAACAGCAATCATATGGTATAGTGATGATTAAAGAGTTATTCAAGAATATAGAATTGAAATTTCATCGACAAAATTAAACATATAATCGACCGTTAGCATTTATTATTGGTACATAGACAAAGAAGGAAATCTGATTTTCTTCACAAAGGATCCGGAGTTCTACGTTGTCTTGTATATCGATCGACACTATTTCGAACAGCTATTGGAAACAAAAATTAAACGACAATTACCAAAAACGAGACGCCCACAATACGCAGTGTCATTAAAATTTGTCAATAACAATAATATACTGAGTATATATGGCTGTTATTGCTCCTACGAAAAAGAGGTTTTAAGAGATAAGTTATAAAGAGAGGAAGGATATTATCAAAAGCTTTCTGTCGTTGGTTTTTCTTTTTTTGCCATTATGTTAATGAAACTTTAACGTTGGTTGTACGAGTTTGTTAACTCTTTGAAGGACAGTAAATTCCAAAATGAAAAGGAAAACGTTTCATCTGTCCCTATTTTTCTTTCGATTCAGAACCATGAAAGAGAGTTTTATTACATGGTAATTTGCGTAAGCTATCACTCCACTCATATTCCTGACAAACTAGAGAGACCTGAAAGAAACTGAATCCTTCCTGAAATATCGTAATGATATTTGGTCGTGGTCATGTGCTAAACAACAACGACTAGAATTAGACAGAGGTCATCGATGTATGAAGTTTAGGTTTGGATTCTGCCACGGCACAAGATATAATGGATTGTTTACATCGATTATCCCTTAAAGGACGTGCGTACAAATCTCTCGTTTACTTGAATTTTTAATTTTTATTGTTTTAGGTACAATTATATTTTCTATTCATCAGCCGCGTTATTCAATATTTGAATTATTTGATTGTATTTTATTATTATCAAGCGGAAGATGTAGTTATCATGGTCGATCAGAGGATTTGCTACCTTATTTTTCTTCTATTGGATTTTCCCTGAAAGAAAATGAAAATCCAGGTGATTTCTTGTTGGATATTGTACAAGGTGTTCGGCAACCGTTAGGAGAAACACTGTTTGTTGACAAAGAAACCTTAGTTCAATATTTATACGATAAATATCACAAATCGATTATCTATGCTAAGATTAAACAACAACTAGATGAAGTTGATAATCACTCATCACGAATAGAGACGGCGAATAATCACAAACTATTATTGCCAGAAAAATCATGTTTAAAGGAATTTTATTATCTTTCACAAAGAGCATTACGAAATGCATTTCGTAACCCACTTTCAATGGCAACACAAACAATTCTTACCGCTTTAATTGCAATACTAACTGGTTGCACCTTTTCAAATACAGATCGAACAGGTGTTATTGACAGTGAATATCGTTCCCAAGCTATTTTCTTCGTTTTATTATCAATTTTTTTCGGACAACTATCGGCAGTTGAACTACTTGTCAAACGCAAAATCCTATTTAATCATGTAAGTAAGCGTAGAAAAAAGCAAACTTTGATTGTTGGTTAATACTATAAATAAGTGCAATCACTGGCTTCTGTATCAAATTTGTTATATACAGTGTTTATCATTTACTTGCCAGTGACAAAAATGTTCTGTTGTGAGTCTGGTTCTATTTCAGCTATATTTATTGTTGTTGTTTCTCATTATAGGAGAGAGAAAGTGGCTACTATCGTGTATCAACCTACTTCATTTCGGAACTGGCTTGTGATTTAATAACAGTTAGGTTGATACCGTTAGTCTTATATTCTCTTGTTGTTTATTTTATGATCGGCTTTCAACGAATAGCATCGAAATTTTTCATATTCTTTGTAACTTTATTTTTAACAAATTTGTGTGCAACTGCACTGTGTACTTGTATAGCAGCAAGTATAAATGAGTTTGGTAAGTGCGTGAATTGAGTTGTTTTTGTTTTACTTTTACAATAAGTGTTGTTGTTTTCTAGGTACTGCTAACATATTGGTTTGCTTGGGTATTGAAATAATTATGATATTTTGTGATTTTATCGTTGAAACAAGCTCTATAACGCCTCTTTTATCATGGATGTGCCCATTAAGTGCGTTTCGTTATGCATACCATAATTTACATATCAATGAATTTACAGGTTTAAAATTATGTTTACCGAATAGCATGCAAAAGTGCTTATTTCGTGGTGAAATTATATTACAACGTCTGTATGTCGATTACAAAACAGATTGGAATTTATGGAAAAATTTTTTCGGGATAGGCTCAGTAACATTTATTTTGTTCATATTAACATATATTCAATTACTCAACGCGAAAATAAAAACTCTGTCTCACGTATCTCAATCGACACAGAGTATTTGGAGACACAAGCGGGATCAATGTTGGACATATTTTTCGAGACATTATGACATGTTGAGACACATTTTGCCGGGACACAAGACGCATCACGAGTAGCCGCATAGACATAGTTCTATGTACGAAACCAGAAATAACAGCATTAGTTATAATAATAACAGTAAACAGTTGAAGTTTGTGAATCTTTTTATCTATACAAACTTTACATTACAAATAGTATCAGCTACGTGATGTTTTAAACTGTATTTATTGAAGAGAAAAGACACACATACTGTCGAGTGCACTACTCATACTCACTATAAGCATATTTGTCAGAGAAGAAGGTAGAATGATAAAAACACGTACGCAAAAAACCGCAAAAAGGCAGACAAATATAAAAAGGGTTGTGGGGTGAGTGGGAGCTAGAGGATACCGCATAAGTTATGGTTTGTGACATATGCAATAATGCATGGTACCACTAATTTAAAGTTAGAGCAAGTTTTCATTTTTCCTTTATGTATACATGGTTGGATAGGGCGTTGTTGTTAGAAGAAAAAATCTTGCTCAAATTTGGAATTACGTGTACCTTACTAGTTACCAATAATTGACTATATTCTTTCACTGGAATTTTTTTATCCTTTGCTAACTGCATTTATCTATTATTCGTCTGTTTCTTGCCTTCTTGTGTTTTAGCATCCTTAACTTCAATAAATTTTCTTGAATCACTTAGCATCTCATTCATTTTATCCACATAATTTTTTGTAAACCCCCCCCCCAAAATAGAAGGCCACCCTATATTAGAAGGGCACCCTAAATAGAAGGCCACCTCAGAGGCAATTCTGTAAAATCCATATTAAAAGGCCATGGCCTTTTATTTTGTCTC